TCTTTAGAAGTCTTCTGAAGTCTTGTGAAAATATGAAGTCACAGCGGCTGAAGTCTGTTGAAGTCTGTTGAAGTCTTTTGAAGTCTTGAAGTCTTGAAGTCCGCTGTTTCCCCCTTGAGTACAGGCTACTTTTATTGCTAGAATTTTTCTGCAGAGCTCAAGATTTCGAACAACTTTTCTAGCATTCTAATGGGCATTTTTATCACACGAGTATTGAAAGAGTAGCTTTTTGAATAGGAAAAAAAGGAGTTTCAACAATGAAGGTTTGAGTTTTTCATTCGAAGGTCCAGTTTTTAAGTGCTGAAATCTCCAAAATACTGAGTTTGAAAAAAAACCTTTTGGAAAATAGATAAGCTACTTTCATAGCTTGCGAAGCTTTTCTTGAGTGATCTTCCAAGGACGTGCAAGTGCGTGTAGTTGATTGTGAGTTTGTAACGAGAAGATCTATGTACATACCCGCGCCCATCCAATACTACGTGTAGAATTTTTTTTCTCTCTCGGGGTGCCTGTAAGGTTTTAGAAGCTAACTCAAACGAGTACCCACAGCATGGTACAATTTATCATGAAAAAATATCAGTAAATTTTTATCGGCCACTTTGAGAGGTAGGGAGAAGCAGTGAACTTCAAGGCTCTATATGACCTACAAGAATTTCCTGAGGTTTTAGAAGACTTTCTCAGACATCTTGACTTGACGAAAGTTCTAGATTGAAGTTTTTACTATTTTTCTCCCAGCAAGGTTGTATTCATTACTTTTTAGGAACAATCGAAGTTATTAAATGAAATTTCTATAGAGTTACTTCGAGATAGCACCTATACGCATACCATAATAGTTGTGGTTAAGAATGATAATAGAGTCTCACAAAATTTGATAACTTCTTTAAAAGTTCACGAGATTTTAGAAGAACTGAGCGATTTGGAGATGTTTGGTGAACTCCAATGAGTCTAAATGAGACTTGAAAGAATTGCATATGGCATTGAAGAACCATGCGAACTTCAAACAGTAGAAATAAACAAATTTAACATCGAATAGAATTTAACTACAGTCTTGAGATTTATATTCCCGGCACTTGGACGGAATTTGGAGCAGCATTTTCTGAATAGCAGAATGAAGATGAATTCGACTTTCATGTAGCTCTGAATATGACTGGTGCTCTCCCAAATTGGCAAGTAAAGAATATACAAGTACTTCTTTGAGATAATCCGTAGAAAGTTACAGGTATCACACTCAGATAGTCAATGGAAAGTAATGAAGACTACCTTGAAGCAGTCTCCAATGAGTTACCACTGTTATCCTGTTTCAGTCTAATCATATAACGTTGAGTTATATTTCTTTGAATAGAGTTTATGAATTAGAAATAAGTGAAGGAAGACAATAAGATGAACGCATATAGACTCAAAGTAAAACATCAATCACTCAACTAGCCATCGCATCGAAGCTAAACCCATACTCAATACGTTAGTCCAGTTGCAAACTCTCAAAGCATTTATGTTTCAGTTTGAATTTGATTCGTACTTAGTGTAACTGAGCGAACAAGGATCAGTGGTACCGGTCTTAAACAAAGATCTCTGCACATTTATTCCGTGATTAAGACCTAAAACAGGAAAGAACCATTCTGCAAGGAAGTTAGTGTTTTCATTTTTCAGCGCTCCATTGTCGGATAACTGGAACCCATTATATCTCGCTTGAAAAGCATCATTGCATTATATCAACGTTTATAAACTACTTTGACTGCATTTTTTAGCGAAAGTGTTGTATTTTCCGTTCATAGGGATGGCAAGGCATATATCTTTCCAGTCTACTGGCAAACCAAGACCAGCGCATTTTAATTTTTTTTGGATCCCAGTCCCTTAGAGATGTGCTAAAAAAGTCGCAAGCCTGTCATAGTCTGATCAAAAAGTGACATGTATGGGCTCCTGGTCCAGCGTAGCATAGGAAAAAGTCGTTAAAAAATCGATGCATCACGTTTTTGAAATTGAAGGATAAAGCTGATACCAAAAACTAGACGATTCCATGACAATCAGTATGACGCTAAGATAGAGTTAGTGTAGTAATAAAAAAATAAATAGTCACTGTTTCAACATTTCAAAACTCTGTCTTGTGATACACTGTACCAGACCCACAGTGTATGACGTCGTTCAGCATAAAAGCTACGTTTTATGGTTTCGTGATTATCTGGAATATCAAGTAGTGTGATAGCATTCTATAGCGAAATGTAGAAAAGACTAAACGAGAAGATTCAATTTTTTTGCTGTATAATTAAGCTGCAATTTTTCTTAAAACTCTAGAATAGCTGAAGAATTTCGTGAAGCTAACTTTGCTCTAACTTTCATGAATCAGATAAAAGCTTCCATTTAAAACTTTCAGATGTCAGTGATACAGACGTATCTATCAAATCATAAAGCTCAAATTTCATTCAATATTTATGCTTCTCATATGCTGATCGTTAGTTCTAACGATAATGGCTTGAATTTTTATAATAGGAAAATATTCATGCATCTTCTCAATTGATGACCTAATTTTTTTATTGCCTTAACATGAGCAGTTTTCATTATTCTCTTAATATAGCTCGTCGGAGACCAGCTGCTAGTATCTGTGAAAGAGCAACATGGACTCAAAATGCTACCACGGTTGCTGGAGGTCATCGATTTGGAGTTACACTCAGCCAATTGGCTTGCCCGCTTGCAATTTCAGTGGATGCAAATCAAAATGTTTACGTAGTGGACCCAAATAATGATCGTATAGTCAAATGGGATCATGATGCAGTACGTAGTCAGGTTGTCGCTGGTGGACATGGAACTGGAAATAATAATGACCAATTATATTTTCCGAGAGATATAGCCATTGATAACGAGGGGGTGATATACATTTATGACCATGGAAATCAGCGTATTCAGCGTTGGCGTAGAGGTGCTTCAACAGGGAATACCTTTCTAAAACATAAGTCTATCAACTGTATAGCAGTAGATGACGAAGGGTCGCTTTATGTTTTGATGTCAGGTGAAGTGAGAAAATGGCGCATCGGTGAGAAGACCGGAGAAGTAATTGGTTCTGGTCTTAATTTGGCACGTTATATGACTGTTGATCGGAACGGATCAGTCTACGTATCTGAGGAGTATGGTCACCGAGTGATTAAATTAAATCCGAAAACAAAACAAATCTCTGTTGTGGCTGGCGGTTCGCAAGGGAGCGGCGCTGACCAATTCAACAATACATGGGGTGTTGCTGTCGACCAGTCGGGCACTATCTATGTATCGGATTATTTTAATCATCGAGTGATGCGGTGGTTACGAGGAGCTACATTCGGTGAGGTAATTGCCGGAGGCCGTGGTAAAGGTTCCCAACCTGATCAGTTATATCATCCAGCTGACTTATCATTTGATCTTGATGGAAATCTCTATGTAGTGGATAGTTATAACAATCGTGTACAAAAATTTCTTATAGACAAACGTTCATGTGATACATGTAAGTTAGCTCTAATTTGTCTACCTAATTTATCTCTTTCTACTTAGGAAACAGAAAGACAAGTGCCTAATCATATTCACATGCATGCATCAACAGCGACCAACTGTAAAACAGCATGACATATGCTTACCATCTCTTATTTTAAAATTATAGCTTCTAAACCTAGTCCAAAACAGAGCAGCTTCTCATCCGAAAGAGGTCATAATGAAGATGTTTGACAAATGACGAATGACTAGAATTATAAAGATAGGGTGGGGTGTTGGTGTGGGTGTGGATGGATGTGGGTGGGTGTGGGTGTAGATCTTCTCTTCATCTACACCCACACCCACACCTACACCCTGATATTCATCTAATAATCCGAAAGTATCGATCACTCATTTTCAAAATACTTCTGAGAAAATAAATATAATAGCCCTGTGTTTTCGGTAATAGTCAGAAGCCAAAGTACGAATGGTAAAAATGTTTCATAGATCACTATATCAGTGTTCCATGAGGCACTGATGTTAGTGTACACTGTGTCACTGACCTCATCAGTGCTTCAGTGAACGCTGATGAGATGACCATCAGTGTCACAGTGAACATCGGTGTCGGCGATCACTGAAACTAAGATGGCACTGGTACCGATATCATCAGTGTTCACTGAGCATCACTGTCGGTGACGTCAGTAATCAGTAAACTGATACTATACATTCCTACGCTGGTTACGTTCCTTTCTATACCACCATTAGCATAGATTCAGAAAACTTGTGATGTTTCTGAAGTTTTATTTCAAATTGAACAATAAAGTGATTAAAATCTATTAAAAAAACAAGCAATGAGCTTAAAAAAACATCACATTTGTGCAGAGTTCAAAGGGTTTCATTCTCTCCTCTCTCTTAGAATGCATATCGTTTATCGGCTCAAGTAATTAAAAATCATCAGTTCTTTTAGTTAGCTATCTTTGCTTTATTTTGACAATAGGGCCAAATCATTCGAACTTCTGGATATTTTTTACACAACTTCGTATAATCTTCCACCTTCAAATAATGCCCACACCAATGAACTTCCAGTAGTTTTTGATAATATTGTGTTTCAACTGAAATGTTGCAGATATTCGTACCAACGCTATATCAGCATTAACTAAATGGAAATGTAAAGCAAACAATTCGTCTTCATTTTTAGAAAAATCATATGAAGGCTTTTTTAAGAGCACCATTGTTTTTCATGGAGTACATAAACTGAAGCCGCTATTATCCACCATACCACGTTCTGACGTCATACGTCATAGTACACCTTAATACAGTAAAACCTCTATATATGAGCACCTCCCGATAACGAGAAACCCCCCAG